CTTGGAATTTGGACCTGAAAATTGTACCTCATGGATTAAGTTTGCAGAATTAGAGACAATCCTTGGTGATAGCGATAGAGCCCAGGCCATCTACGAATAAGCCATCAGTCAGCCAAGCTTAGACATGCCAGAGGTACTTTGGAAATCATATATCGATTTTGAGATGGAGCAGGAAGAACCTGGAAGAGCACGAAACCTTTACCGACAATTGCTTCAGCGAACACAGCATGTCAAGGTATGGATCAGTTTGGCTCAGTTTGAGTTATCCTCAGGGAAAGAAGCAAGTGTGACTAAATGCAGACAGATTTATCAAGAGGCAAACAAAACCATGAGAAACCATGAAGAGAAAGAAGAGAGACTTATGTTGCTGGAATCCTGGCGAGGTTTTGAAGATGAATTTGGAACAGTATCAGACAAGGAAAGAGTAGACAAACTCATGCCAGTAAAGGTCAAGAAGAGGAGAAAGGTCCAGGCCGAAGATGGGTCTGATGCTGGCTGGGAAGAATACCATGATTACATCTTTCCAGAGGAGGTTGCCAACCAGCCTAACCTCAAGTTTCCGGCAATGGCCAAGCTTTAGAAGAAACGGCAACAAGAAAAAGAAGCTGCCCAATAGGATCCAGATAAGGACATTGGTAAGAGTGAATCCTCATCTTTTTAAATCTTGGAAATTTGTTATAGAAATGAATAGTTTAGAACTTTGATTTCTGAACATTTTTATATATTTACACAGTAAGGAATGATCTTTGATAGCTACCTTTCTAATTATCATTTAAAACACTCTTGGGTTAAATGGGATAGAACACCATAGATTCTTGTGTTCACCCCTCCTGCTCCTACCCTATATGAAAATGAGTTTTATATGGCCTGTGTACTCAGATGCCCATCAGTGTATGACAAATAATTTATAAGCCATGATATTTCCCTACAATGAGATAATGTTTAGACATAAAAGTCAAGTGATGATACATACTAGGACATGGATAAACTTGGATGACATTATAGAAAGCGAGAGAAACAGATTGACCAAATTGTGCATTGTGATTCCATGTACAGTAACTGTCCAGAACAGGCAGATCCAAAGAGAGTGGAGTATGCTTGTCAGGCCTGGGGAGAGAGGGGAGAGGGAATGGCTGCTTATAGGAAGATCCCTTTTCGGGAAGATGACGATATTCTAGAACTGGAGAGAGGTGATTGTATGCTATCATGAATTTACAAAATGTTACTGTTTACGTTTAAAATGCTGTGTTGTTATTTTGTATTAAAAAATAAATTTTATCATATTAATACAATGGCCTGTGTAGTCTATGCTCACTCCTTTGGCTTCTGTGGATTTTCTAGACACTGGGTTTGTTTCCTTCTTTTTTGACTTTTGATTTTAGGTTTGACCATGGAGCCCTGGCTAAGGTTGAATTCTAGATCCTCCTAGCTGAGGAGTGTTGGTGGTGCTCTGCTAACTCTAGCTCCACCAAGACATTCTGATGCGTGTTCCCCCAGTCAGCTCCTGTAGTTCACACACTGTCTGAGATTAGAGAGGAGCTCCCAGCATTCAGACGATTCTTATTCAGTACTTCAGACCCCAGCTTGGCTTCCGTCTCGGGAATCTTTCTTTCCATCCTTTCTTTGGGTACCATTCCATGGTGCTAAGGACAGCATCAAGGGCTTCCAATGTGCTTGGCAGGAGCTCTTCTGCCACGTGTGGTAGTGCACACCGTTAATTCCAGCACCCAGGAGGCACAGTACCTAGAGGTCCTGTGGTCGAGGTCATTCTAGTCTACATAAAGGGTATCACATCAAGCAAACAAACAAGCAAACACACAAACACACACAAACAAAACATGAGAATTTCCACTTCCTCAGAGAGACAGTCACAAAGCTCACTTTTACTCCTTAGCATCCTTCACCCTGAGATACAGATTGGACTTTCTTCCCATGCCTGTGGGAAGAGGTAAAGGTTCCTTTAGCCATTGCTGCATGTCCCAGGAGCAGTCCCACACACCTGGAAGCCCTCTTCCAGAGAGGCTCAGCATTGATCCAAGATTCTCTAGCTGGAATTCTCCTATTCCAGAAGCTGCTGTCCTGCCCTTTGACACCATTCTCACTAAAGCCCAAACTTGCCTGGACCTCCCAATTTTGTCCCAGCTGGCCTGGAGTACCTGATCCGGTTGGCTTCACCTTACAAGCCTACACAATCATACTCATCTCAAATCCAAATGTCAACACTGCTTTTATTTCCATTTTTCCATATCTCACCCAAACAAATAGTTAAGTTTTAATCTAGAGAAAATAATGGAATGTTTATTGTGTCACCTGGGCTGGTCTTAGCCCTGGATATTAGCAGAGGATGGACTAGGTTCCTTAGGGGCCATTGAATCACCATCTATGGACCAGATTGCAGGACACTGAATTCAGCAAGTGAGTGCAGCCTCCATCACTGTGGAGGGCTTCAGTGACTCCTCTGAGACTCTGACTCTTAAGGACCATTTGAGTCACAGGTCCTCTAATCAACCACTGCCTTCCAGTCCCTGAGAGGAGGGATCAGTTATCTCAATCCCCACCATGCTCATCCACATGGAGTTCAAGATGGTCCATGGAATGGAAAGCATCAAATGTGCCGTCATTAAGCGATGAATGTTAGGGATCTAGTAAATGCAGGAGTATGTTGATGACCCACTCCATGAGCTAGGACTGAGTATTACTGACATGTGACCACAGCATGCAGAGTGTTGGCTGGGAAAGGCTTCATTTACTCTTGGGCTTAGACAGACAGTCAGATTGTGGAATATCGTGGTGGCTCAATGCATGAGTGTTTGCTACATCAACAGGAAGTCCTTAGTGTGATGCCCAGAATCTCCTGTGGAAAAAGAAACTGACCATTGAAAGTCATTCTCTGAAGCCAGGCATGGTGGCAAGTATTTTTAATCCCAGCACATGGGTGGCAAAAGCTTGTGGATTTCTGGGAGTTCGTAGCTGGCCTGGTGTACATAATGATTTTTAGGATGGCCAGAGCTATGTGGTTGATCACATCTCAGAGAGAGAGAGGGGGTGGCGGAATGAGGGAGAAAGGGAGGGGGGGGGGAGAGAGAGCATCCTCTGACCTTCACATTGTTACAATGGCACAGAGGGGCCTACATACAGACTCACATACACACTCAATGATAATAAATCAAAGGCATATCCTGAGAACATGTGTGGTGTTTGTGTGTGGATGTGGAAGACAGCAAGTGCTCCCAGAGAACAGAAAAAGCAAGGGTGGTGTCAGATAATCTGGAACTGTTCCAAGAGTTTCAGGGTGCTGAAATCAAACACTGGTCCCCAGAAAGAACAGCAAGCCCTGTTAACCTCTGAGCCATCTCTCCAAGAGAATCTCTCTCTAGCTTTTTGACTGGGGTTTCATGAAGTTGAAGTGTATAAAATGCCCAAGAAGAGGGAATTTGGGTCTTTGTTCACTGTGAAATTTCTAGGATGCAGAAGGTATAGAAACAAGGGGGACACGAGAATATGCAAACACGGTAAGCGTGATGAACAACTATGAAATTGTCAATGAAAACGACTCAGTCAATTAAAAGAATACAATGCCCTCTCATGCAAAAGGGTTTTATTGAAACCTATGGGAAAGTGTAAAGGTGGTTGGGGAAATAATATCCAGCTCCTCAAGTGTTCCAAAGCAAGAAAAAGACAGATCATAGCTCAACAGTGAGAATGCTGTATGCCCAACACCAGTTCATAGTTCAAATAACTTACTGTTCAAGAAAGAAACATATATCCATAAATTACAAATCTTTATGTAAGATGGACAACCAAAAGGCAGAGGCCAACCTATTGGTGTAATTATTAAGGCCACTCCACGTAGTTAAAAGGAGATTTATTTAATGGTGTAACTTACAAATTAAGGGATAGGCAGGTCGCGGGGTCTGGGGAAGGTGTATCACAGTCCAGCGGTGTTCTCTGGAGCTCTGCTTGGTCCACCTCCACTATCCAGGGTCCTGGCACGGAGAGAGCGCCCACCAATCCAGATCTTGGGTCCCCAGGCGCCTCCCTTGGCCACGCCTTGTAGGCGTGACAGTTGCCGAAGTCTCAATGGGGGTTGGAACTTCCAGATCAAAGCTGGAATGGCTACCCACTACACCAACCAAAGACAGAGGTGCTCTCTGGAGGACCTGAGTTTGGGTTTCAGCACTCAAGTTAGGTGGTGGCTCTTGTAACTCCAGTCTCAGAGGACCCAACGTCCTCAGATGCTTTAAAGGAACCATATGTACATACACACATGTACATACATAAAGCAAAATAAATTATTTTAAAAACTGGGACCAGATCCTTAAGGCCTCTGAAAGGATGAGTGTTGCCTGTGGAGACAGGGTATTCATTAGCATTTAGGACACCTGGCCTGCCCTCAGGGTCCTGACAGGATATATATCTCAGCTGCAGCCACTAAGAGCATCCCCTGTGGGCTTTCGCTATGTTTCCTTATAAAAGGCTGGCCTTATACACCTCCTGTCCCTTTCTCTTTCTTCACTTTCATCCCCAGAGACCAGTCTCTGCTCTTCTCTCCCCCTTCCCTCAATAATCCTGTAAGGTAGGCCTGTTGTATATGTGACTCCTTCCCAATGACTCATCATTTTTAAAATACAACAGTGTCTGTGGTCCAAGCTTGTGTTGAGCTTTAAGAAATCCTCCAGCCTCAGCCTCCCTAGTGCTAGGTATAGGCACAAGCCATGACAGCCTTTTAAATCCTTTATTATATTTGTGACTTCCTGTCTTAACTTTTAAATTCTTTTAATTATCCCTCTGGTAAATGAAAAGGCTTTTCTTTCTTTCTTTCTTTCTTTCTTTCTTTCTTTCTTTCTTTCTTTCTTTCTTTCTTTCTTTCTTTTGTTCTTTCTTTCTTTCTTTCTGTTTTTCACAATAAAGTTTTTTATGGAAACAGGCTGGTGTGGGGACAGAGGAAAAGACAAATAGGTCTGGGTTAGGTGGCTCAGGTGAAGTAGTGGGGCTTCTTCTCATGGATACCATATTCGCTGAGGGCAGGGGTCAAGTCCTCCATGGTAAGGGTACTTGCCGTCCTTGCTCTTGGTCAGGGAGCTGCCAGAGGCTGTTCCCTTCATTTTGCAGTGCTGTAGGGCATCGTTGGCAATATCTGAGATGAACTTCTGGGCAGCTAGTGAGATGAGCCGAATTATGAATGGGTCTGAAGTTTCAAAGCCAGCAGGATTCAGGTAATAAGCGGTCACTGCATCTAGGATCATAGGAGTGTAATTCTCCAGCTGCATCAAGAAGTTTACAGGAGACTTACTTGACTCTACAGGCTTCCCTTCTCTGTTGGCCTTGCTTGACAGGGCATACATGTCCTTAGACATTGCCCTTTATGGGGAGCCAAGGCAGCTGCTGCCACCTAGGTCGGCCCCTGCTGGAGCCTGAGATGGGGCAGGTCCCCTGCAGTCCCGGCTTGGCTGGCCTTGCTCTCAGAGGGTGTGCTATTGGGCAGCGCAGTAGGAGCCCATACCTGGGGCGCCAGACCCGAGACCTAGGCTGCACAGGCTGCTGCTGTCTGGTGGTCCATGCCTGAGCTGCTGCAGATCTTGGTGCTGGTGGGAGAGGTGGCTAACCAGGCTTTTCTTTCATCATGATCCAGATCTAATTTTATTAAGGGATTTAAACCTTTTGACTTTTTTTTGTTTGTTTGTTTTATTTTTCGAGACAGGGTTTCTCTGTGTAGCTTTGTGCCTTTCCTGGAACTCAGTTTGGAGACCAGGCTGGCCTCGAATGCCGGTAGGATTTGCTGAAGGAGGCAGAGGCAGGAGGATCACGAGTTCGAGGCCAGCCTGGGCTACACATTTCCTTTTGACATTTTTGACAAACCTTCCCAAGATCAGATCCTCTGTCTAAAATCCCTTTGAGGCAGGGCGTTGGGGACACTCGCTTTTAATCCCACCAGTGGGGAGGCAGAGGCTGGAGGATCTCTGAGTTTGAGGCCAGCCTGGTGAGTAGTAATGTTGTGCCCAGATCGTGACCCCCAGAGAGACCACCAAAGATGAGTATCCCGGGATGCAAAAGCAAGGTTTAATTCTAGATATCCAAAAGTAATACAAGCCTAGGCAGGGACTTTGTCCAATACATCCAACACAGTGGAGGCTGGAGGAAGTGCCTTCCTGTCTGCAAGCTCAGTTTTTAAAGGCAAAAGCCACAAGGTTACATCAATTAGGGGTGCTAGTACGGGTACAATTCTGATTGGCTCGCTTCTAGGGGATTTCTAGAAATCATGGCTTAATCTTACTTCTAAGGGAGTGGTTACCTACCACCATTTCTCATTGGCTGCCCTCAGGTGGGGATATTTCTGTGGTCAGTTACCCTGGAAACCAGGGAGAAGACATTCCATAGTCAGGCAGTCATTACCTTGTGACTACCTTGTGACTCTGTACTTTTACACTTCCTGGTTTCTGGAATCTGAATTGACTGGTTTCAGTAACTAATGGCCTATTCCTAAAAGGAGAAAACTTAGGCCTTAATTTTAGGGTGAAAGCATTTTGGTCTTATTTCTAAGATGGCACATTTCGGTCTTACAGTAACAGGGTATAAAAGCTTACATATAGAGGTGTAAACTGAGTCTGGGCTTAATGAAATTTTCTCCTTCACAGTAGCCACACCAACCAAGAAAAAAAATGAAGATGAAATGAGAGACAGGCTATCCTGGGTGAGATGGGGCTTCTTTTTTTTTTTTTTTTCTTTTTTTTTCGAGACAGGGTTTCTCTGTGTAGCTTTGCGCCTTTCCTGGAACTCACTTGGTAGCCCAGGCTGGCCTCGAACTCACAGAGATCCGCCTGGCTCTGCCTCCCGAGTGCTGGGATTAAAGGCGTGCGCCACCACCGCCCGGCCCGAGATGGGGCTTCTTGATAGGGTGAATAACTTGTCCGATCTGGACATTGGTTACAGGTCTTCCAATCCCAGCAGGGTAAGTCAGTCACTCCAGATTCCAATGCTCATAGTGTCTTGCTTAGCCATTCTGACCCTTATATCCACTTCCCCCTTGCTTTCCCTTTGGAGCCCCATTCTAACCATTATATCCTCTTCCCCCTTGCTTTCCCTTTGGAGCCCCATTCTAACCATTATATCCACTTCCCCCTTGCTTTCCCTTTGGAGGCCCACCTGTTAGACACAAGCTGCCACCTGATTGGATGAGGAAGTTCTCACCCGTTTAATCTTACTATTTGGGATTTTGCTTCAGTAATTTGAGTGAATCAGACTTACTTTGGTAATGGATGAAATTTGAGATGATGGTCAAGGTCCCAGGCTCATCCATAACACTCCTCCTCAAACTCTGAGCTCTGGGATTCGTTGTCTAATTTACATTATTACTTCGGTAGATTTTTTTCCAGTTGATGTCTCACACTATACCTTAGGCCTATCTGGAACTCTTATTGTACTCTGAGTCCACCTGTATGTCTTAGTAATCCCCCTGTCTCAGTAGACCATATGTAATAAGTTGTGTCAAGATTGATTAGATTTCCATGCAGAAAAGAGAATGAACTGAGAGCACTTTGAAGACAACGTCCCAAATGCAGAGTCACTGTACAAACACTAGGGCTTGCTTCTTCCTCCCTCCCTCCCTCTCTTTCTCCACTCCTCTCTTCCTCCCTCCCTCCCTGTCTTCCTTCCTTCCTTCCTACCTAGAGGAGGATACACCCAGCATCAGAAAGCCTCAGAGGAGCAGCCAAGATGAGGTCTGTGGGGGCCCCAAAACAGCTTGACCACAGAGCTGCCATGACAGGCTTAGAGGCCCACACAGCTTCTGGCAGGCAACAACTGGACCCAGGAAAAGCCATAAGCTGACTTCACCCAATGGTGCTCCATCTAAGGGGAAATACCTGAGGCCCAGACACAGCTTCTGGCAGGCAATCTCTGAACCCAGAGACGCTATAAGCTGACCCCACACAGTGGGGCCTGCATCTAAGAGGAAAGGCCTGACATTCCAAACATTCCCTATACCCCTAGACAAATGTCAGTCAATCAGGACCCTGAACCTTGGAAATCCCCTCCTCCACACTGCCTGGGCTCTGGGTTTCTGTTCTCCCTGCTGAATTGTAGAGAGGCTCTAAGTTGTGAGCTTGAAATAATAATGGCTCTTTGGTTTTACATAAGGGATTCTCCATGGTGGTCTTTTGGGGGTCCCTGCAATCTGGGCATAACAAGGTCCAATGTCCTGAAGCTGGGGTGGGGGAGACAGGGAGCACTGCTTGACCTCCTGTGGATCTCATAGCTCTATGAAACTGGTCTATATCCTCAGTCAGTGACCACAGGGAGATGCCACTCAATATGCCCTCAGGCAGACAAGCAGCCCTAGGTGGCCCATAGATATTTCTTCTTGATTTCTCAGATAAACATATTTAAGATCTGGTGCTGAGCCATCTTGAGTTGTATACCAGACAGGCCAAAGCAGGAGGACTGCAAGATCATGGCCTAGCCTTGTGTTTCATGCCCAGAGGTCTAGTACTAATTTTGCCCTTATCCCATTCAACATTATTAGAATAATTGGATAGACAAACAGTATTCTGAATCTTAATTTACTTAAAGTAAATCACCTCAGCCAGCAAGATGGCTCCTGATAAAGGTGCCTGCTGCCCTTGCTGTGGGATGTTCTGTATGTCAAGTATGTTTCTGATTGGTCAATAAATAAATCACTGATTATATCTCTGTGAGTTCTAGACCAGCTTGGTCCATATAGTGAGAGCCTGTCTTAAAAAAAAAAAAAAACCTGCCGGGCGATGGTGGCGCACGCCTTTAATCCCAGCACTCGGAAGGCAGAGCCATGCGGATCTCTGTGAGTTCGAGGCCAGCCTGGACTACCAAGTGAGTTCCAGGAAAGGCGCAAAGCTACACAGAGAAACCCTGTCTCGAAAGACCAAAAAAAAAAAAAAAAACCTATGTGAGATGGAGTCTTGTTTGAGCATCTTAGGGAAGTGTCTACTGAATGATGTGACCTGTATCTAGAGGAAGGCTTACTGATATATATTGCCATTTTATAACAGCTGGCATGGTACTGTACAAGGTGGCTTGAGGAAAGTGGTTTGGATACAGCTGAGTGGTGATGAACAGACTCAGTATATTTAAAGCCCTGGGTTGGCTCCTCAGCCCCAATGAAGTAAAGAAATATTTGATTCAGGCTCTATATCGCAGATTGTCTCACATTTGTTGGTAGGTTGTTATGCTGGTTGAAATCTGTTCCTGATGAGTGTACCAAAGCCTTGAAGCTGATCATATTAGAGTCAGTAAGGGCAAGGGAGACACTGAGTCCATCATCAAAGTCACGGGTCTTCAAGAGGAATCCACATAGATATTTGCTTCACCCCCAGCTGGCCTGAAATAACTGCAAAGACCAGGATGGCCTCAACCTCACTGAGATCCAGCTGTTTCTGTCCCACATGTGATGGGATTAAAGGCCTGAGCTACTAGAATTGACCAGCTTTGGTGTTCGTACAGGAGAGGCTCTAGAGGTCATCAAAACTAGTGGAAGACTTTTGCCCAACATAAGACAGTCAACTTGGTTTACTACACATTTAATTTGTATGTGTAGACAAGGAGACAACTTGTGTGAGCTGACTCTCTCTCTCCTTCCACCAACTGTATTGGTTCTAAAAGTTTAACTCAGGTCTCCCTCAGGGCTATAGCTAGAGTTTTCCTGCCTGGCCCACAGTCAGGACAAATCTCTCTCACCCGGTTCCACAGCCGCTCAGACCCGACCAAGTAAACACAGAGACTTAATTTGGTTACAAACTGTATGGCCGTGGCAGGCTTCTTACTAACTGTTCTTACAGCTTAAATTAATCCATTTCTATTAATCTATACCTTGCCACGTGGCTTGTGACTTACCGGCATCTTCACATGCTGTTTGTCATTGTGGTGGCTGGCAGTGTCTCTGACTCAGCCTTCCACTTCCAAGCTTTATTCTCCTCCTTGTCCCACCTATACTTCCTGCCTGGCCACTGGCTATTTGGTCCTGCCTTCCAAGGATTAAAGGCCTGCACCACCACACCAGGCCCAAGAATTGGTTTTGTTTTGCACTAAGGTATTCAAACTTAAGCTTTTATTTCTGTTCAACTGAACCTCCCATAGCCAACTATTAAGTTATAGTCACTCAGTAACCCAAGCAACAAGAAGTATGGTCTCTATATGTCCTAAGATGAATGAGCTGGCTCCGGTAGCACAGGGTGGCAGGATGTGCTTGAAGATCTGGAGGCAGGAGTTGGGGTTGGTGAGAGACAGCTCAATGGGGGAAGGTCTTGCCGTCAAGCCTCAGTTCAATCCCTAGGACCCACATGCTGAAAGGAGGAACCAGCCCCTGCCAGTTCCA